TATTTCCCCTGGAGATTTTTCAGTAGATATAAATTGAATATGAATCACCCTTCGCTATTTCATAGTATGCTACTATAGGGGCTACTAGTAATCCTTCCTTAAATTCAAGAATTCAAATCATTAACCTCCATGCACAGTCAGTCAATGAAATAAGAAACTTGTTAATAAAAAAACCTATTAATTGAAATAACTGCTGAATAATAGCCCTAGTGTTAAAAAGAGAATTATCTATGTGTTCTTATTTGCCCATTTATGTACTTGGGTTTTGAATGAACATTTTCAGAGCAGATTGGTATGCCATTCAACCTATAATCAAAAGTCTTAAAACATTGATTACAAGCCCCCCATTGTGTCATCTCTCATCCCACCATCCCTCTGTGCTTCTTGTTTCCATTCTTCCCTTTACATACTCTCTTACTACCTTCTGAGGTTTATCTTTGTTCAGATGCTGCCCTTGTGATCCTGTGTGTTGACTTCTCATTGTTCACCTTATTGTTGTTGTCCCTAATATATGCTGTGTAGTCGAACATGACTCAGTGATACTGTAAAATTCAGATCTGAACCCTGTCCTATCCTGTGCCAGCCTCATCATCTCTGACACATTTGAGCCAATTGCTACAATTACTGTGTCAGTGCATTTCATTGAAAGTTCTTCCTCTCATTCACCTCTGCAAACATGATGTCCCCACCAAGGATTAGCCTCTCCTATAAACATGCCCAAAGTATGTAAGATGAAGCTTTGTCACCTTTGCCTCTGAGGAGCACTCTGGCTGCACTTTCTCCATGACATACCTGTTTTTCTTTTGGAAGCCTATGGGATATGCAGGACTATTCTCCAGCACCAGAGCTCAAAGGCATCAATTCTTCTTCTGTTCACCTTATAGATCTGTCTATTGTTTGGCATCAAGTTGTTCCACAGGGAATTTGTTGCAGGTGCAAAGGCCAGCTAAGGGCAATAGCTAAGGGATTTTACCAGTCTCCACCAGCCTGTAAGCCTGGCCACTGTTGTAATTTTGAGCTCTGTTCAGCATTCATCTTCCATTCTATTCAGCCTCCTCTGTGAGCCCTTTAGCACATAGCAGTGGCAGCTGGACACCATGTAGTTCTTCTAGGCTTATTCATGAAGTAGAGAATCGGCATGGTCTAGTGGGGCTGTGGAAAACTGTGTTTAATAAAAATCACGTGGAGAACAGCCTCAGTATTTAAAGAAGATGGAAGTCATCATAGAAAAGCAGATGTGTTTTGGGTGTGTGCACCCTGTGAGCAGGACTGGAGTCCCCAGTAAACAAATGAAGCGTATCTCTGTCCCTGTCATTAGAACTGTGGAAAGGCTTTGATAAACTGTAAGAAAATGTTGGGGAGGGAGGGGAAGAGATGGCAGCCATGCCTACAAACAGAATGTTGGGATGATGAAAAAGTGTGAAATTATTCCCTATAGATTAGTGAAAAAGCAGTTAGAGGTAACCTCCTGCTTACCTTGCCTGGCAGGTAATTCAGCTCTGCTTAGAGAGTTGTATTATAAACACAGTGAGAAAAGTATGGATTTTGCCCCAGTCCTGTGGTGGGCACCCAGGCCCAATGCTCAGGCCTGGGGTGTCTATCCTAGGAGGAGTTGGTGTAGCCAAATGGAAGGGCATAGCACCCCTTCAGCCAGCATACAGGGAGGGCTCTGACACTCCAGCTCTGTTTCCTTTACAGTCGGGGGAGACAGCCCTCCATGTGGCAGCTCGCTATGGGCACGCAGATGTCGTTCAGCTGCTATGCAGTTTTGGCTCCAATCCCAACTTCCAGGACAAGGTTGGTCACATTAGTTACTGTCCCTTCCTCAGCATTCTACATGGATGTGCAAGCAGCCAGGTGATGCAGTGAGGTTTTCTGTCCTACATTACACAGGGTAGGTACTCAGAGAACCACTGCCTAATTTGTAAGGGATGAGCAATCTCCTCCCATGCCATTACTGCCTCTGAAACCTGCTGGAGGGTCAGCTGTGGGTTGGTTCTGACTCAGTGGTACACAAAAATAACAACCACAATGGTTCAAGGAACTTTTCTAAGCAATTAATGTTTTTCATTTATACACCTGGAAAAAATCTATGAGGTAGACTACTATCATTATACTTCTCAGTCTGCAGATGAGAAAACTGAGACAGTGAGAGTAGGTTAATTTGCCCAGCTTATAAACGGGGCTATGGCTCATTCTTTGGTTCCCGGTTTATGTCATGACCAATGCACTATGATAGCCTTTCATAGACACAGCTAATGATTTTGATCATGAAAAATGGAGGCATTTGAGAACTCCCAGTCAGCTGTTTCCTGTTTAGCTTCATTACTTCCTTGCCAGGCTAAAAATACTTCTCTGTGGCTCATCTTTATCAAAGTCCTTTCCCACTATTACTAGTTTTAGATTTGATAAGAAAGATACTGTCAACTTGCCCAGTTGTGGCCCTGCTGCTCAGATACTGATCCTCCCTCCAGTTGGTCCCTCGAGGCTATTTTCCAGGTATTTATTGAGTGTGCCCCTGCTGCAGTGGTCTCATTCTGCCTCTCCCACAGTAACTTTGTCATCTGCAGATGTCACTCAGTCACTGTGGCCCACACCATTGTGCCTTGTCTCCTCTGCCAGGAGGAAGAGACCCCACTGCACTGTGCTGCCTGGCACGGCTACTACGCTGCTGCCAGAGCCCTCTGTGAAGCGGGCTGTAACGTAAACATCAGGAACCGGGAGGGAGAGACACCGTTGCTCACAGCTTCAGCCCGTGGCTTCCATGACATCGTGGAGTGTCTGTCAGAGTACGGCGCTGACCTCGATGCCTCCGACAAGGTGCCTGTGGAGTGGGGGAATGTGCCACTGATCCAGTTATGTGCCAGTGGAGGGACCGTAAGACTATCCGTTAACTGAGATGGGGCATTGGGATACAGCAGGTTGTCATGCTGCAGAGCCTGTCTATGACCATTCCTACATGTAACATATATAGAAGTCAGCCCAGTGACTTAGGGTTTCTTGTCACTTTTGCCTTGTTAGCTGAGGAGGATACACTGATGAGCACTAAACCCAAGAAGACCTCATTTAGAACTAGAATTGACAATGGGCTATTACTTCCCCCCGCCCCCATCTCTCTTATTGCCAGTGATTTTGAGCATTTTTTTATAAGTATAAATATTATTTTGTTGTGATTTTAATGAAAGTTTACAGAAAACATAGGTCTCCATTACTCTTTTACATATGTGGTTTACTTACTACCCTTACCTGCTGTTTTTTAGGAAGATAATAAACAACTATTATTTGCCTAAGAGTCTCATTTCTAGACCATATATTCTCATCTTTAAGCAAAGTCAACATTATCTGTTTTTATTGTGCATTATATTTAAAAAGAGGCTCTGATGCGGTTGTGCATAGTTGAGATATGAGGCACTGCAAGACAACTGTTACCTGTGGAATAGTTTCTTAGCAAAAAGCCTGTTACCTCTAGGATATTTTCTTAGCAAAGACCTAGTGGTTGTTAACTAGGTGTGATTTTGCCCATAGGCAACATACTGCAGTGTCTGCAGTCATTTATGGCTGTCAGAGCCGGAGATAGAAAGACAAGGGCTGCTTTGGACAAGCAGGCAGAGAGCTAAGTGTACTATGAAACATCCCATGATGCACAAAAAAGAATTCTCTGTGTCAAAATATCACTGCTATTGAGACTGAAAAAAACTGAGTGCAAATTAGAGAAACCCTCTCCCCAACTGCTTAAAACTCAACTTTTCTCACCAGAGACTCTAAACTTGGTGGGTTGAGCCTCAGGGCCAGGCTGATGTGATGGATCTAGACACACATATCAAGAGGGTCGTGGGGGATACTACACAGAATCTGTTGGTTACTTCTGTTATGAGGAAATGTCTTTCATCTGCTCCGTTCTGTTAAATACTTGTCTGTCAAATATTGTTCTAAAGCTGAGCATCCACATTAAGACAAACTAGGGGGAAAAGGATCTACTTCCAAAATAACAGGCTTTCAAAAACCCTATGTACATTAGAGCACACTTAGAGTAAACTAACAGTTATGGTGCCTAGAGCTGAGTCCTCGAATTTGGAAACACAAAGGAGGAGGAACAGTTGTAAGCAGACACTAGTGATTGGTACGTAGAATGTAAGAAGCATGAATGTAGGAAAAATGGACATTATTTCTTTTTAATTATTATTAAATTTTATTAGTTTTAGTGAACATTTACAGAGATTTTGGGTTTTCATTCATCCATTGTTGCACTATTTTCTCTACCCTCCTCCCCAGTTCGTTCTTCTTCCCCCCCCCCATGTCTGTTTTGATTGTCCAGTTGCCACAGTGCTTGTCGAAGCCAGTTCTGATTAATCTCCTCTGTCAGTGTGTCCTTCGCCATTCCCTATCTCTCCTCCCTGAGAGAGACTTCACCCTGATTCATAAGGAAAAGGGGATAGTGTATTCTCTTAGCTACTTCCTGCTGAAAAGGGACGCTGTAGGTTTCAGGGTGAAGATCTTCTCTCACTACTCCAAAGGGCCCCTTTGGCAGTAGGAAACACATAGACTATTATGGAGATTGATTTTGGAATTTAGAATCACTGTTATCATCTGTGCTTAGCCATACATGTTCATATCCTTGAAGATGTAAAAAATGGACATTATTAAGAAAGAAATGGAACGCATGATACCTTGATATACTAGGTATTGGCAGAATGAGATGGATTGACATGGGACATTTTGAATCAGTCATTCCATCTACTATGCTAAAGATGAAAAGGTGAAGAAAAATGGGGTCACTACCATAGTGAAAAAGTTCATTTCTAGATCCATCTTGAAATAGAATGTTATGAGTCACAGGGTAATATCCATATGCATACAAAGAAGTACAGTGAATACTGTTGTTGTTTGTTGTTGTTAAGTGTTGTAGAGTCGAGTATGACTTAATAACAACCCTGTGAACATCAGATCTGAACCAAATCCTGTCCTGCACCATTCTCACACTTCCTGAAATCCAAGAGCCCACTGGAGCAGTCACCTTGTCAATCTACCTCTAGTTGAGGGTTTTCCTCTCCTTCACTGACCCTACACCCCTTCCAACATTATGTCCCTTTCCAAAAAAATAGCACCTCCTGACAATATGTCCAAAGTATGTGAGGCAAAGCCTCATTATTCTTGCCTACAAAAGGCACTCCGGCTGCAACCTCTCCAAGACATATATCTTCATTCTCTTGGGCGTCCATGGGATATTCAGTGCTCTTTTCCAACACCACAGCTCAAAGGTGTCAATTCTTTTTCTGTCATCCTTATTCTTTGTCCAGGTCTCAGATACATAGCTAGGAATCAGAAAGACTGTGGCCTGAATCAGATGCACCTTAGACCTAAAACCGACATCACAACTTTTCATTAATTTGGAAAGGTCCCTAACTCCAGATTTTCCCAGTACAGTGCATCTCCTTATTTCCTGATTGCTTGTACCAAGGGTGGATCCAAGCAAGATGAAGCTTGTTGACAGTTTCAATCTTTTCTCCATCCATTATGACACTGCCTATTGGTCCAGTGGTAAGAGTCTTTGTTTTCTTGATACTGAGACACAATCCATACTGGACTGTATTCCTTGATCTTCTGCAACAAGCGCTTCAAGTCCTCCTCACTTTCAGCAAGCAAGGTTGTGTCATCTGCATAATGATGAGTCTCCCTCCAATCCTGATGCCACATTCCTCTTCATAAAGTCCAGTTTCTCAGATAATTTTCTCAGCATATAGATTGAACAGGAATGGAGATAAACTATAATCTTGATGCACTCCCTTCCCAATTTCAAACCATGCAATTCCATTCACACAACAGCCTCCTGATCCAGGTATAGATTCCTCATGAGCCCAGTCAAGTGCTCTGGGATTCTCATTCTTCTCAAAGTCAGCTCAACTTGTCTTGATCCACGCAGTCAAATGCCTTTTTATAGTCAATAAAGCACAAATAGATATTCCTTATTTTCAGGCAGGATCCATATGACCTCTTCTGAGTCCCGCTTGAACTTCTGGCAGTTCCCTATCTATGTATTGTTCCTGATGGTTTTAAATGACCTCCAGCAGTATGTTGCTTGCATATGTTATCAATGATATTACTCAGTAATTTCCACATTCAGTTGGATCACTCTTCTTGGGAATGGGAACAATTATGGACCTCTTCCATTGGCCAGAAAGCCATCCTCCAAATTTCTTGGCATAGATTGGTGAGTTGCATCCAAGGCTGCATCTGTTTAATTGAAATGTGTCAGTCGGTATCCCATTGATTCCTGGGACCTTCTTTTTTTGCCAGTGTCTTCAATGCCGTTTCCACTTCCACTTTCATTACCATTGGCTCCTGTTCGTATGGTAATTCCTGAAATTTTTCAGTGCCAATCAATTCTTTCCAGTATAGTGACTCCATGTATTCCCTCCATCTTCTTTTGATGCTTTCTGGGTCATTCAATATATTGCCCATAGCATCTTTCAATATTGCACCACTAGGCTTAAATTTGTTTTTCAGTTTTTTCAGCTTATGAAATAGAGTGAGTTCATTCTTCCCTTTTTATTCTCCAATTCCAGCTCTGTACACATTCCATTATAATACTTTGCTTTGTCCTCTTGAGCTGCCCTTTGAAATCGTCTATTCAGCTCTTTCACTTTGACAGGTTTTCCTTTAAATTTGGCTTCTCAGTACTCTAGTGCAATATTTAATCTCTTCTGACATCCATTTTGATTTGTTCTTTCCCCTCTGTTTTTGTAACGATCTTTTGCTTTCGTCATGGATGATATCCTTGATATCATCTCACACTTATCTGGTCTTCTATCATTGGTTCAGTGCCTCAAACCTGTTTTTAAGATGATTATGAAATTCAGATGAAATTGATTCAAGATTGTATCTTTGTTCCTGTGGACTTATCTTCATTTTCTTTGGCCTCAATTTGAACTAGCATATGAGTAATTGATGGTCTGAGCCGTAGTCTGCCCTTGGAGAAGAGTATTGAACATACTACGGACCACCAGGAGAACAAATAGATCTGTCTTAGAGATGGTTCAACCAAGTTCTTACAGGCAAGGCTTTTGAAGCTCTGTCTCACATACCTTAGTCTCACATGTTGCCAGGAGGGACCAGTCCTTGGAAAAGGACATCATTTTTGGAAGGTTGGAGGGACAGCACAGGAGAGGAAGACCCCAGATGAGATGTATTGACATGGTAACTAGGGCAATGGATTTAGATGTATTAGAGTCAGAGAGACTGGCTCAGGTTAGGGCAGGGTTCAGAACTATTATACATAGGGTTGCTATAAGTCACGGGCTACTTGACATAAAACAACAACAACAAACTTGTTATAGTTGCATCTCCTAATTACAACAACCCTTGAATAAACATTTCACATTGCTTTCTCAATTTTTCTTGATACAAGAAAAAATAGTAGTCTTTCTATATAGGAAGTCAGTAAAAATTACAGAACAAATAATTTTAAAGATTTTTTTTCCAAGTATTTTTCAAATACTTTGGTAAAACACAATTTTTTTAGAAAAACCCAACAGACAAGACATTGCCATTAAGTCGTTTCCAACTAATAATGACTATAAAGAATTATTTAAATTGTGTGCTTTCAGGAGACTTAGCTTCTTTCTGTCTGAGTGTGCTGTACAGATCCAAACTAAACTTGTTGGCCAGTAATTGGTGGTGACAGCTGCTGTCTAGTCAGCTTGCAGCTCATGATGAACCTTTGCACAAGAGAGCACCCAGTCTTGCATCTCTGACTGTGGTGATGCAGATCATTGTCAGGGGGCCTTTTTCAGAAATATATTTCCATGCCCTCCTTCCAGCTCATCTTTATCTAGAAGCTCTGCTGAAATCTGTTTAGCATTACCACTCTGTTCATGTCTCTATCGATAGACCTCACTCAGGGGACATGGGCCGAGGATGAATTCCAGTCTTCTAAGAAAGTTTAGAGTGCTAATTAGAGTCACTAATGCCCCAAATGGTCAGCTAGGGCTGATTATTCTGAATGAGGTGTATGAATCTCACCGTCCCCTCCCCAGGGCCAAATTTGAGATTTTAACCTTTCTTTAAGCTTTGCAGTACTCATGCCCTTGACATCTGTTCCTCATCAAGTGAAGGTACGAGTGGTGGCTAGACCAGGCCCACTCGCCTAATTGAAATCCACTCATAGTCCCCACTACTTGTTTCAGGATGGACACATTGCTCTTCATCTTGCGGTCCGGCGATGTCAGATGGAGGTCATCAAGACGTTGCTCGGCCAAGGGTGTTTGGTTGACTTCCAAGACAGACACGGCAACACCCCCCTGCACGTGGCCTGCAAGGATGGCAGTGTGCCCATTGTGATGGCCCTCTGTGAGGCAAACTGCAGTTTAGACATCTCAAACAAGGTAAGCATGGAGGAGGAGACATCTGCACATCATGGGTGTAGGCTGCATTTGCATTTGCATTCCTTCCCTGTGAAAGTATCACTTACGTCGACATTTTCTAAAAATAAAAATAAATTCAAAAATTTTAAAAAAATTTTAAAAATTAAAAATTTATATTTTATATTAGATTTTAGAAGAGGCATTAAGTTCTAGTCTGCCAGCTGCTCTGCAGGAGGAAGTAAGACAATCTCCTCCTGTAAACTTTACAGCCTCTGAAAACCCAGTGGAGGGTCAGCTGTTAGTCAGTTGGATGAGAAAGCACACAGTAACAGCACCAGCCATTTTATGTGATATTCTACCTGTGACCTAAAAAATTGTGTAAAGAAACAAAAAATTACCACATTAGCTAGCATTTTCCACGTGGTTTGGTGGTAAAATCCATCTGTTTACCTCTGTGAATATCTTATATGGGAAGGAGGGGGTACATCTTGTGAAATTACTGTTTAATTAAGATTCCTCAAGCCAAATTTCTCCTCTTACCTTTCTGCTGTGAGAGTTTTATGGTTATTAAATCCTAACACCCACTTTTTTTGCTGAATATATTTGATAGACAAAGAACATGTGATAATTTGGTGAATAATAAGCTAAACCAGCAGCTGTAAAGTTGCCTCTGGTTCATGGTGATAGTGTGTCACATTCTCTTAGACATAAGCTTTTTGAACCTGGTTTTCTAATTCTGCTAGAAATAATTGGTTTGGTTGAGCTGCAACTTGTCCTGTTGCCAACTCAGGCTACTATGGTCAGTCTACTGTGTAAATAGGGTACATAAACCACTCAGTAGTATCAAGTGACTAGTTGGCCACTCACTATGTAGATTAAGTAACTGTAGCCTCTAGAGGGGACAGATCAGTTCATGATTTGCTAAGGACAACAGAGAGAGTGCACAAACAAGTGGTGGGAACCAGAAGACCAGCATAGGAGGGCTGTGTCTGCAATTGACTTTCCTGCCGATTTGTGGTATTGAGAGGGAGTTGAACCCTTTGGACAGGAGGATTGCCAGCAGAGTGAGTGTAGTACCTTTAGGCACTTGTCGATGGAACCAAAGAGCAGTGACACTATGCCAAGCCACACAGAGGCCGAAAGAAGGCCCTGCAGTTGAGCAGGGAGAAAAGTACAACAATAAATGAATGGAAATCCAAAATCTCTGTAAATGTTCATTAAAATTATTAAAATAAAATCTAAAAAAAAAAAAAACCTTTAAAAAAAAAGAGAAGGCCCTGAAGTGAATATGGCAAAGAGTGGGATGCCTGCCTGTGGACATAGCTGAGAGTTGTCTTGGTCAGGAGCTGTCCTGATCTTCATACTGGCTCCTAAATTGTATAAATGCAGTATCCTACAACTTACAGTTTATTCATAATTTGTTACGATTCACTCAGCCCAATGCCTTTCCATATTCAATAAAACTCAGATATCTTTCAGGAAATCTCTGCTTTCAGATTCATATTGACATTCTCTAATCTTCAGAATTCAGCTTGTATTTCTGCAAGCTCTCTCTCGAAGTACTGTCCTAATTATTTTATAATAATAAAAAAGTATTTCTTTTTTATAATCTTCAGGAGGATTTTACTTGCATTATTAATGACATTATTTGTCAATTTCCAAATTCTATTGGATTCCTCTTTTTTCTTTGCCAAAGGCCCATATATGAATCCCCTCCATACAGTTGGCCAGGTCTTACCTGTCTTCCTCAGGTAAGTGAGCACATGCAGGGCCACATTTGTGTCCTGAAACACAAGAGTTGGTTTTCCATAAGTTCCTGGAGCCTTATTTGTTTACGGTCACTGCAGTTTGGACTTCTTCAAGTTCCTGGCTCTTAATGATATGCTGATTCTTGAAATTTTTCCTTGTTGACCACATCTTTTGGATAGAGTAACTCTGTACCATCTTTTTTTTTTTTTTGATGCTTACTGCATCATTCAAGCTTTTTCCCTTCGGGTCCTTTAGTGTTACACCCCAAGCCTTGAATTTGTTCTCACGTTATGTCAACTTGAGAAATACCAAGTATTTTATTCCTTTTTGGTTTTCTAATTCAAGGTCTTTGCACATTTCATTATTATACTTTACTTTGTCTTCTCTAATTTCCCTTTCAAATCTATTTATCCAACTTTTTCACTTCATTATTTCTTTGCTTTACTTTCTCTATGTTCAAGAGGAAGTTTCAGAGTCTCTTCTAACATCCATTTTTGTCCTTTCTTTCTTTCTGGTCTTTGAAATGACATTTTGCTTTCTTCATGCATCGTGTCCTTGATGTCATCCCATTGGTCATTGGTATATCAAATCTATTCTTGATATGGTTTTACATCTTTTGATTATGCAAAGGCATTCAACTTTCTGAACATATTATCAATAACATTGAGAATAATGGGAATTGCAGAACACTTAATTGTGCTCCTGTGGAACTGTACTCGAATCTAGAAGCAATCGTTTGAACAGAATAAGAGAATACTGTGTGGTCCAAAATGAGAAAAGGTGTACACCAGAGTTGTATCTTCTCTCCATACATATTCAGTCTGTGTGCTGAGCAAAGTGGCACCAGGATTGGAAGAAGACTTATTAGCAATCTGCATTATGCAGATGGCACAACTTTACTTGCTGAAAGGAGGATTTCAAGTACTTATGAAGATCAAATATGATAATTTTCAACATCAAGAGGGGGAAAAAATTCTCACAACTGTCAGCATTTTGACAGGTTGTGAAAGGACTGAAATTGTCAGTGATTTTATTTTACATGTATCCACTATCAACACCCATGGAAACAACAGCCAAGAAATCAAAAGATGCAACCTGATTGTGTGAAACGAATGTGAATGAATCTGGGTTTGCTGTGATGCTGAACCTTGTGCCATTGGGGTCCTAGATGCCATAATAGTTACCCGTGATGGCCAGTGTTTGGTGGAGCTCCCAGTTTAAGACAGGTTTGGAAGAAGGAGTGGCATCCACTTCCTAAACCACATGCCTCTGGAAACTCTATGAATTTAAGGAAACAACAATAGTTATAGAAAGGCTTCAGATCTTTTATTCATACGATTGCTATGAGTCATGCTCGACTCGATGGCAATTACCAATAGCAACATCACTAATATCACACACAAGCAAAATCTTACTGATGATTATCCAAAAACTACTACAACAGTACATCAGCAGACAACTACCAGAAATATATGCTGGGTTTAGATGAGGTCATGGCACTAGAGACATCTTCTTGTTGTTATGTGCCATCGAAGTCTCCTGACTGATAACATTTCTCTTTAGTACTCTGGAGAGGTCCTGGCATCAGATTTCCCTAAAGCAATTAATCTTTTTATTTTCTGGATCCTGGTACTAAGAGTGTTGATTGTGGAGCCGAGCAAGCTAAAGCTGTTAACAATTTAATGTCTAAAGGATCTTAGCTGAAAGCGGAGTGCCAGAGATTTGACTATGTATATCACAACAAATTGTGTCTCACAATTCTTGAGAACAGTGAGAATCCCAGAACACCTTATTGTGCTCATGTGAAACCTATACCAAGATCAGGAGGCAGTCATTAGAACAGATCGAGGAAACTGTATGGTTAGAAATCAGAAAAGGAGTGTGTCAGGGATGTATTCTATCTCTATACCTTTTCAATCTGTACACAGATTATTCTAGAGGCTGGACTTTATGAGGAGGAATATGATGTCAGGACTGGAGGAAGACTATTCAGCAACCTGAGTTATGGAGATGACACAACCTTGCTTGCTGAAACTGAGGAGGACCTGAAACATTTGCTGTGGAAAGTCAAAGACTGTAGTCTTAAATATGAATTGAAGCTCAAAATAAAGAAGACAAAGGTTCTCACCACTGGGATGATTTAGCAGCACCATGATGAATGGAGAAGAGAGGTTATTAATAATTTCATCTTGCTTGGCTTCATAATTAATACTCTTGGCACCAGCAGTTAGGAAATCAAAAGACAAACTGCACTGGGGAAGTCTTGTCTTGTCAGAGACCTCTCTAAAGTGCTAAAGAGCAATGTTGTCAGTCTGGAGTCTAAGGTGCACCTGATCCAGACCATGATCTTCACAGTTACTTGCTCTGCATCAGAGAGCTGGACAGTGACGAAGGATGACAGAAGAAGATTCGATGTCTTTTCAGTGTCTTTGTCGTGTTGGTGTATTGAACCTACCGTGAACTGCCAAAAGAACAAACAGGTTTATCCATGAGAGGGTGAAACCAGGCTGCTCCTTGGAGGCAAGGATTTAGAAGCTTTGTCTCACATACCTTGGGCATGTGGCCAGGAGGGACCAGTCCTTGGAGAAGGACATCATGCTTGGAAGGATGGAGGGGCAGCATAGGAGAGGAATAGATTGACTCAGTAACTGGAGTAATGAGGGTTGGTTTGTCAGAAACAGTGGGATTGGCTCGGGATAGGATAAGGTGCAGAGCTATTTTGCATAGGGTCACTATGAGTCATAAGTGGCTGAGTGGCACATAGCAACAACAACAAAATGTCAATTAAAGCATCTTGCATTATTCTCAAGGAGCGCTGGTGGCACAGTGGTGAAGCATTCAGATGCTAAGCATTCAGGTGCTTTGTTCTCGGGTGCTAAGTGAAAAGTCAGTGGTTCTGTCCACCCAGTTGCTCCATGAACAACAGATATGGCAATCTGCTTCTGTAACAATTTCACGAGGGAATTCTCTTCTGTCTTACAGGGTCACTGTAAGTCACAATTGACTCACCAGCAGCAGTTTTGGGTGTTGCCTTTTATTTCTCTAAACAAAATATAATCTCTGAAACAACCAAAATATAAATAACCCTGTTTACAAAGTGGGCTAAGGACTTTCCTGACCAGTGGGGCTTTTGAGCTCTGGCTCACACCTCCTTTTCACCAAAGAGGATGTTGAGATGGCCAACAAGCTCCTGAAAGGACTCTTAGCATCATGAGCCATTGCTGTATGTTGAGTCAACCCTGGCTTACAATCCTGTAGTTTGGAAGTTCCATGTGGGAGTACAAGGCCACCATCTCTCTGGGTGCCAGGAAGGAGCATGATCTACTGCAGACTGGCTGGTGGATTTGAATCACCAGCATTCCCTTAACAGTTCAGTGCTTAAACATTGTGCCAGCAGAATTCTTTGAATTACATATCACCAAACCCACTTTCATCAAATCCATTATGATTTACAGAAACCCTCCACTGTTTATCTGAGGCTGTAAATCTTTTGGAAGGAGGTGACAGAATGGCTGGTAGATTTAAACCTCTGAGCTTTTGGTTATCAGATAAGTTGTCCAGTTCACTACCAGAGTTTCTCCAATTTTTATTGTAACAACAAGGTGCCATCAAGTCAAGTTCAATCCACAGCAACCCTGTGAACAATAGATTTGAGCCCTTTCCTATTCTGTGCTGTCCTTATCATCTCTGGTACACTCGATCTCGTTTCTGCAGCCACTTTGTGAATTCACCTCACTGAGGGTCTTCCTCTATTTTGCTGACCCTCTACCTTTCTAAGCGTAATGTCCTTTTCAAAGTATGAGAGACGAAGCTTTGTAATCCTTGCCTCTAAGGGGCACTCTGGCTGCACCTTCTCGAAGACATACCTATTCTTTTGGCCAGTCCATGAGATGTTCAGTACTCTACTCCAACTCTGCAAATCAAAGGCATCAATCTGTCTTCTGTCCTCTTGATCCAGTTCTAACTTGTATAGCAGGTAATTGAAAAGACTATGGCTTGAATCAGGCACACTTCAGTCTTAAGGCTGACATCATTGCTCAGTAATGAGGCGAGGTCTATTCCCCACTGACTTTCCCAGTGTATATTGTCTTTTATGTCATTTCTTGACTGTTGGTATTAATGGTGTTGATTGTGGAACCAAGCAGGATGAAATCATTGACAGCTTCAATCTTTTCTTCACCTCTCCATGTATTAGCCCAGTGTTGAGAATCTTTGGGTTTTTTATATTGAGGTGTAACTCATATTGCAGGCTGTAGTCTTTGATCTTCTGCAGCAAGTGTTTCAAGTCTCCTCATTTTCAGCAAGCAAGTTTGTGTCATCTGCATGATGCAGGTGTTGATTATTCTTCTTCCGATCCTGATGACAAAAGAACTCATGCCTTTGAATTGTGTTGGTGAAGAGTGTTGAATATCTCATGGATTGCCAAAGAAACAAACAAGGCTGTCTTGGAGGAAGTGCAAACAGGGTGCTCCTTAGAAGCAAAGATGTATGTACTTTGGATGTGTTGTCAGGAGAGGCCAGTTCTTGGAAAAAGATACCATGCTGGGAAAAGTGGAGGGTCAGAGAAAGCAAAGATGACCCTAATGAGGCAGATTGGCACAGTGACCATAAAAACAGGCTGGAGCATGGCAGATAGTGTGATGATGGCACAAAATAGAGCAGGTTTAGATTCCCAGGGTCAATAGGAGTCTTAATAGGCACCACACATAGTCACCACATAGGAACCAAAGATAACGGTTACTAAGAGAGGGAGGAAGAGAAGGGACATTTTTGTTTGGGTGGCTTTGTATGGTGATGGAATGTTTTGGTGAGGACAGTGATAAAAGTGGTGCAACATGTCAATGTCACTGGAAGTATGTTGAACAACAGCTAAGACAGCTTTTTCCTGACTAGACCATCTTCAGTTAACTTCCAATCCTTCTCCCCTTACTTACTGTATCTTAATTTGATGTGTAGTGTCATCTTTCAGCCAGCAGAGCAGGACATTTCATTACCTTGTAATGAGGTTCCCATTCTTGTTCTGAAGTCAACCTTTTAATTATAAAAAATACTGAAAACCTGCTCACCTTATCTGCCTCAGTAGATGGCTCCTTTCTGCAGAAGTGGGGGGACCAGCTCCTCTTTTTTCTGGTGCATCCCAGGCACCTTCCATAATGCTGCATCTATGGAAAGTACTTTCTCATTAGCAACAATAATGATCTTTCTTTTTTCTTCCCAGTACGGCCGGACCCCTCTACATCTTGCTGCCAACAACGGGATTCTGGATGTGGTCCGGTATCTCTGTGTGGCTGGTGCCAACGTGGAAGCCCTCACTTCAGTGAGTAGAACCCTAGTTCTTTCCTCAAGAGAAAACCTTCAAGATCTTTTGCTTCAAGAGCAAAAGAGCAAAGATTGCCTGGCAACAGCATTCCCGCAGCATTCTAAAGCAGGCAGGCTACTATTAAGCTTTAACTCCTCCATTGCAGTTATATAAACCTTTGCCCACACTAACTCAGTGTAATGTCTAATTAAAGTTTCCTTTGACTCCAGGGCACTGAGGAGCCCTGGTGCATCGAACTGAAAGCAGTGTCTTTTGGAGTGAAGAGCAGTGCCCACATTCGCCTGCGTTGACTGGGTGACCTGCTCTCATTTGACATAAGAGCTACTCTCTGGATCAAAAAGTCCAGCTAGGCCGGCAGGTTATTTTTGGATGTGACTTCAGTTCTCATTGTTTGCCATTGCAACTTCCCATTTTAGACCTCCTTGCAAACTCATCGATTCAGATTCTGTGAAATACCAAAGACAGAAAATTATCAACTCGTAAGAGAAGTTTTCTATTATATTGCTGTAGTAGAATAATACAACAAGAGTTGTTTCTGGCCCAACTGTGGCCTAACTCTTCATTCTCCAGACTCGTTGGGGAAAGCAAGATGTTCCTGAACCTCTCAGATTAGAATTTTGCCAGCAGAGCATTTTTCTCCAAGGAGAACATTGTTTTAAAAATAGCAACCAACTTGAGCTAAAGATAAAGTTTGATTTCTTTGAGTTTGCTAGACGAGTGCTCTTTGCCTAGTCTATAGAGAGTTATGGTGTCACCCCAAAGGCTACACCTCTATAATGATTCAAATCCACCAGCTTCTCCATGAGAGAAAGGTGTGTAATCTTCTGTGTGATTTAGAGCTTTGACAACCCTCTGGAGGGTCAGCTGTGAGTCAGTTCCTACTCAATGGCAAATGCAAGTTTAAATAGTAGAGGGGCTGGCAAACTATGGCCTAGGGGTCAAATCTAGCCTCCTGTTTATTTTTGTAAAAGACGTTTTCTTGGAATACAGCCACATCCATTTCTTTATGGATTGTCTGTGGGGTTTCACTGGACAAATCTGCTGTCACGGATCTCTTATGCATATGTACACTCTAAATTAAGAACTTCAAACTCAATACTCTCTGAAGACTCACTGCTGAAGGGTCAGGATGTCAGTTTAAAGACTCAGGTGCATCTGACTCGAGCCATGGTATTTTCATTAGCTATTTGTGTTTGTGAAAGTTAAACAATGCCTTTTGAATTTTGCAAGGCCAAAAGAAAAAAACAAATCTTCCGTGGAGGAAGTATAGTCATGGTATATATAGTATAGTCAAGTATAGTCATTAGATATTGTTGTTGTTAGGTACCATTGTACTGTGAACAACAGATCTGAACCTTGTCCTATCCTATGCCATATTCACACTTCCTGATACCCTAGAGTCCACTGCAGCAGTTACTATGTCCATCCTCCTAGTAAAGGGTCTTCCTCTCCTTAACCAACTCTCCACTCTTCCCAGCATCATGTCCCTTTCCAGAGAATAGCCCCTGCTAGCAACATGTCCAAAGTATGTGAGGCGAAGACTCATCATTCTTGCCTCCACCAAGTACTCTGGCTGCACCTTCTCCAAGACATATCTGTTGTTCTTTTGTCCATTCATGGGATGTTTAATGCTCTTCTCCAACATCATAGCTCAAAGGCATCAATTTTTCTTTGTCATCCGTATTCACCGTCCAGCTCTTAAATGCATAGCAAGTGATTAGAAAACCATGGCCTGAATCAGACACACCTAAGTCCTCAAAGTGACATCATTACTCCTCAATAATTTGGAGAGGTCTCTAACTGCCTGCTTGCCCAGTGCAATACATCTCCTTATTTTCTGACTACTGGTTCCAGGGGTGTTAATTGTGGATTAAACTAAGATGAAGTTGTTGATGGTTTCTAACAGCTCATTAGATGAGGAGATGCCAGTCCTTGGAAAGGGACATCATGCTGGGAAAAGCAGAGAGTCAGAGAAGGAGAAGACGACCCTCAGCAAGATGGATTGACACCTATTGAAGAACTTTGCAGCACTGACTATATAATGGGCATAAACACAGGTGTTGTGAGGATGGCACAGGATCAGGCAGTGTTTCAAGCTGTTGTCCGTAAGGCTGTGATGACTCAGAATCATCTCAGTAGCACCTGCTAACAATAACATGGCCACTTCCCTGAGTAACTGACAGAGAGCATATTGCCCACAGAGCCTCAACTTATTCTGGCACTTCACACCATTTACCAGCTCCTCTTTTGCTCATTGAGCATACTAGTGTCCCTTCCAGCGCATGTGCACAGACTAAAGCCCAGTTACCACCAGTGTTCCACATGAGACCAGTCTCTCTACAGGCATCTCCCCACCTCTCACGCACCCACACATTAAATGACATGCGAGGACCTACTAGGCCAGATGTTCCTTCATTAACTCCTGTGCAGTGACTTCAGTGGAGGACATGTCGTGTCATCATAGAGAATTTATACACATTTGTATGAGGAAAAACAAGCCTTCTAATGGTACCATATTAGAAAACAGTGAAATGAAAGAGGGAAAACTAAAGAGACTGAAGAGATCACTGGGGAAGTTGCAAGGGAGGGATGAACTGATGGTGTGTGTTATACTGTGTTACTACGTTATACGTTATACGTTATACTGTGTGACACTGTGACGGGGATCACCTAACATTGCACATTTGTCACTGCCTGTGGTGCAACACGAGTGAGCCCTGAATGGGAACCCAAAACTTTAGAAATGATGAAGTAGCAGTAATTGGCTCATCAATTGTACCAAATGTGTCCCAAGAAAGCGATGTTCATTTTAAGAGGAATTGTGTTTGGTGGAGGCTCCATAGGAGACTGCTGCTTTCTACAGTTGTTACCTCTGTGGCTGTTACTGACATCTTTGCAGCCACTCTCTTACTCCTCAGGTTCCCTAAGTGCATCATCTCACTCTCATGCCTTGACCATAGCTGCTCAGTGAGACACTCTTCCTTCCAGAGGCGGTGCTCCCCAGGCACTGGGAGTCTGCGCACGAGCCTCATGTGAGCTCTCATGCACCTGTTGGAGTATAAGCTCTGTACCAGGCACGGGCTCAGAACCGAGAATGTGAACTGGAACAAGCAGGCGTGGGTGCACAGGGATTAGTGGGCGAGCTGTGAACCGAAGAACTCCAGCGTTCCTCAATATGGTATGTGTGGTGAAGGGAGAGGATCGCTTACTGAAGGACTTTAAGAGGACATAAGAGACTTGACTGCGGAAGTCTGTTTACCTAAAGCTTGAAGAGTGAGGAGTTATAGATGGACAGTGAGAGTGAGAAGCATGTGAAGGAACTCAGTGAATTCCGGAAACTGAAGAAAGAACAGTGGGTTGGAGAACAGACTAGAAAGCAACACCCTCTTGTGATGGGAGAAGCCCTGGGGGCTGTATGTGCAGAGCACGTTAAGATATGGGTTTTTGTGTTACCAGCAGTGTGACGCCATTGAAGGTTCAAGGAGGGGTAATGTCTTCAACCTCAGCTCTGCAGTCAGAATACTTGCCACCTACATCATTTTCAAGTTCTTGGCAGCCACAGTTAGGTCAAAGAAACAGATGAAATCCATGCCAATAGTCTGTATGATAACAAAAATATCATTCCAACCTGCAGTCAGCATTTAGAAATTATTGATGAGATATTTACATTCTTTGTTTTGTACCGATCTTGATTTCATTTCACAGCAAACCCCATGTGTGAGAGTGGAACTGCTCCTCAAGGTTCTGTTGGCTGTAATTTTCACAAAAGCAAATTACTAGGCCTTTTCTTCTGAAGCTTTGTTGAATAGACTCAAATTGTCAACCTTTAAGCTCACAGGCAGGTGAAACTACTTGCTACACCTTTTGTTTTGCACTAAGTCTTGGAAAGTTGGTGTGTCGTTTACATGTAGAACATGCTTACTGAGCCAGCCCCTTTTTCCCAAGCTGAACAGTTCTGAGTGGGGAGAAGCAGTGGCTTCCTGAGCCAGGCCGGACTCACCAGGTCACTGGCATCATCTGAACAGGCACATGTTTGCTCAGCTTTGAAGTAGCCCTTGGCTCCATAGCACCCTCCTTCCATCACTTTCTCTCTCCCATCCCGTTCTCAAACAGGGTAATGTGGAAAAAGAAATACTCTTGATACCAAGGACCACATTTTATTTGCTTGCCTCCTCTCTCTGTTCCACCTAACTCACACTGATCACCAACACCTGGCCCTCTTACCTACCAGACCTTCTAATAAAACAAGCACAGCTTTTCAAACTCCACATAGAAGGGCTGCATACGGTTATTATCATGAATTTAAAAGTAGTTAAAATGGAAAAGCTTTTAAAATACATTTGACCATGATAAAATGATTTAAAAAGCAAAATAAATATACTGCTAAAATGGATGGTTATTATAAGAACAATTCCTTTGCACCCTCATTCAGGTTAAAAATAGGATTTTCCTGGAGGCCCCATGTGCCCCGTGCCTACCACAGTTCTTGTTTCTGCCGTTCAGCTTCACAGTGACCCTTTGTGTACTCTTCCCCAAGCACCTTTGCAAGCTTCTTGCTCAAGTGCCAGCAGCTTCTTTTATCCACTTCATTTCTTAGGGAAGTTTTAGGTTTACAGAGAAGTTACACAGAAAGTGCAGCATTCATCCATGGCTATTCATACATACATACATACATACATACATACATACATACATCCATAGTTCATCCATAGTTCATCCATACCATCCCATACCTACCTTCATCTATCCTCCAGTTAGAGATCATGTATTGATTACTTTTGATGACACAACACTGATGTTAACATTTTTTTATTTACCTCCTGGCCTCCATGTTGGTAGTTCAAACCCTGTGGTGCTGCAGCCAAAGCCCTCACCCACTTTCCCATGGAAGTTGTGGGGAAAGCAGACTACCATGCAGCACTGCTGAGTAATGCACGAGACCACCATGAAAATGGAAAATGACCCAATGGCAACAGATTATTTCGTTGTTTATGTTC